GAAATCTATCATGATGGAGTACCGAGGCCTGCAAAAGGGTAAAAGAAAGAAGATATGAGAAATATCAAGGACTAAGTCAAAGGTCGAAAGAGCGTAATGATGTCTTACCCGATTTAGTGCCTGCTGCACCTCGTTGAACATGCACGACACGTCCACCTCATTCATTTTCGCATGATCTTCTTCGGTCACTTGGCATCGAAGGTGGCTCGCTACTCCCACAAGAGCAGAAATAACACGGTCATCCTCCGGGACAATGATGATTATTGACCTCTTACGATCGGGGTCCGCACTAGGAGCGGGGAACTGGTCGACTAAATTTGGGCTTGAGTTTCTCCGACTTGTGAAGACGGATCCTTTCTGGACAATTCCAGGTCGCCCAACCCGAAAAAGTCTTCCAAGACGGACGAGTCCACGCCGTCAAAAAAGGAACGAAGGGGATCGTCTACGCCATAAGCCCCTTCGTTAGATTTCTCCTTCCTCGCATGGGCTTCTACGAGCATAAACTCGGTATAAGAGGGCGTCCCTGAGATCTCAATCACGCCGGGCACTTCCTTCAGTGCAGAACCGACATCCTGGGAAGTTTCACCCCGGGGATCCGCGTTGGCTTTCTGAGGTGGAGGGGGTCGGTCTCACGACTCTCCCCCTCGGATACCTCCTAAATCCCCGGGATATGTGGTCGTCCCGTGAGTTACGGAGACAGACTCATCCTCTGGCTCATCCCTAAGCTAAGGATGGAGTCAAAGGCAAGCACATGGGAACTGGAGCCCCTCATGGGCTTGCGGAGCACTCACTTCTTCGATTTCTTCGCCTCGGAGCTCGGGGAGCCCGAGGGTTTTCTTTTTCTCTTCTTCTTTCCCTTCGTGGCAGCAATAGAGTGATCAAAGGGTGGGGGCACATATTCGTCCCCTTCTGAAGGTCTAAGTACGGTGGTCTTAGGCAAACCTACAATGATAAAGAGAAGGGGTTAGCATAATAATATCTTAGAGTAGTAATGGAGAATAATGATTTAAGAATATGAAAGATGACAATAAATGACATTCAAGTAATAAATAGAGCTAGGTTCACCCGACAAGGGTGAGATTTTACACCGATCTTTCTGACAATGATGGATAATGATAAGCATTTGAATATTCCGATTCTTCTTTGATGGGGGAGAAAGATAGAAAAAGAGGTGTAAAGGTAAGGCTTGTATGTATTCAATAAAGAGAGAATCTTCACAGAGAATATCAATGTTATTCTTTATAAAAATGTTCAATGACCCTTCTAGAGCTACATCTCTTCCTATTTATAAGAGTACATGGGCCACAATACCATAAATAATACAACAGAAGAGAATATTCAGTGAATATTCTCTAGGGAATCTAAATTCTTGAACTAGCTGTTACTGCGCGCAAAGGACGGGTGCTCGCCCTCATCCTCGTCTTTTATCAGACCACCTCGGCCTTGATGAGGATCTGCCTTCTTCACGTGACTTCAACCTTTTGAATCAGGTTAATATATCATATCGTTGACATGTTACATTTTTTAAAGACTTTATCTCTATTGACCTCATCAAGAAGTTTTTTGCCCATACAACCACGTGTCTTCAAAAAATTTCACTTATACACAAAGCCACCTTTGTATTTTATAAACATACGAAATATTTATATTTAAGAATGTTCGCGCTTGAGATAAAATTTACTGTCCCCATGCAGTCAAGAACAATGTGGCAAAATTTTCACCACTAACTAGAACTAGAATCGAACAAGAAAAGAGGACAGGTGTGTTGTGGGATTTAACTTGTGCGAGTCTCATCTGTGGTCTTACAAATGTACATAATTAGACGTGGAAAGACCAAGGAATATCCGGAGTTGTGAACCACAACTTGTGGGAGGAAATCGTGAGTACGAAATGTTTCCATCTGCCACCACACGATTATTTAACACTAATCTTCATACCTCTTTCTCGGTATTTTAGTCCCTATATCTCTTGTATTCCGTTTATTTATAACACATCATTAGCGTGAGTCTCCTATCCTGTACAGTGGTACTTGCGCGATGCGCAATTAATATTATTTTTTTAATTAAATTAAATTCTGATCAAGATTGTTTGAACCTATTAGATTGTCATTTCATTTATCGATATAATATATCCAATAATAAAATATTTATTAAATTAAAAAGATGACTAATATAGTTATCGAATAACTTTTTTATTATGTAATTTTTATTCTATAATCCAACGTTTAGTATTATTATATTCTTAATATAAATTTATATTAGTGTATTATTTTCTTTAATAATTTTTTTCGCTACTCTCTTTTTAATATAATATAGAATATATATATTTTTTGTTACTCTTTAAATAAATTACTTTTAAATTTTATTCTATTGACTCAATTTTTAATTGTGTAAATTTATTAATAATATTTTTTATTTTATTTTATTTTTTTAAAATTAATTCAAAACGCATCCACATTAAACCATGTGTCAGCCTAATAATAAGCCGGCATTACTCAAGACAATGCTCCAAGAGTCCAGAATTCGGAAGCTCTTCGAAAAACAAATCTCATGCATTTTAATGCAAGAAAAGCCAAAAATTAATTATGTCTCCTAAAATTTTGGTAACCGATACATATGCAATAACTTGTTTTTCACCAAAGGTGTTGTCTATCTTTTTAATTGATTATCTCCTAAGATTTTTTCTTTACATTAATTAAAAAAATATTGTATTACTTATTTGATGAAAACTTATAGTTTTTAATTGGATCTTAGGTTGCAAATATTGTTATAAAAATAGATATTAATTATTTTTTCTTTACACTAATGAAAAAAATATTGTATTACTTATCCTATCCCTTTTTAATTTGTTAATTATGCTAAGTGTTTTGTTCCATGCAATTTTTTATTTATTAATTTTTTAATAATTTATTTATTTATTTTGCTTTTTAAAATTAGAAATTTTCTGGTTATGACACTTGTCATCCTATCCTTGAATTTTGCTAAGTATTTTATTTATTTATTTGCTTTATAAAATTAAGATTTTTCTGATCTCATCTCCTTGTTTTGCCTCTCCTATTATATATAGATAGATTATGTAATTTTTATTCTATAATCCAACGTTTAGTATTATTATATTCTTAATATAAATTTGTATTAGTGTATTATTTTCTTTAATAATTTTTTTCGTTACTCTCTTTTTAATATAATATAGAATATATATATTTTGTTACTCTTTAAAAAAATTACTTTAAATTTTATTCTATTGACTCAATTTTTAATTGTGTAAATTTATTAATAATATTATTTATTTTATTTTATTTTTTTAAAATTAATTCAAAACGCATCCATATTAAGTCATGTGTCAGCCTAATAATAAGCCACTTGGCATTGCTCAATACAATGCTCCAAGAGTCCAGAATTCGGAAGCTCTTCGAAAAACAAATCTCATGCATTTTAATGCAAGAAAAGCCAAAAATTAATTATGTCTCTTAAAATTTTGGTAACCGATACATATGCAATAACTTGTTTTTCATCCTAGATTTTGGCTATCTTTTTAATTGATTATCTCCTAAGATTTTTTCTTTACATTAATTAAAAAAATATTGTATTACTTATTTGATGAAAACTTAGAAAACTTAGAGCTTTCAATTGGATCTTAGGTTACAAATATTGTTATAAAAATAGATATTTATTAATTATTTTTTCTTTACACTACTGAAAAAAATATTGTATTACTTATACTATCCCCTTTTAATTTGTTATTTATGGTAAGTGTTTTGTTCCATGCAATTTTTTATTTATTAATTTTTCTTAATATTTTATTTATTTATTTTGCTTTTTAAATTAGAAATTTTCTGGTTATGACACCTGTCATTCTATCCTTGAATTTTGCTAAGTATTTTATTTATTTATTTGCTTTATAAAATTGAGATTTTTCTGATCATCATCTCCTTGTAATGACTTAACTAAGGTTGATTTATCCTTGCACGGAATTCGTTTGTTATTCTGGAGAATAATTTCTCTCCTCACTGTTTTACAACCTTTTTAGTTGAAATTATGTTAAAAAAAATATCAGTAATGAGGATATGTTAGAGAAAATGTTCTCCAACTTTTTAGTTGCTCAATACTTAGAAAAAATGTACATTTAGTGCTTTTTCCTCTTACCTTCTTTCCATTTTCCCCTTCTTTGCCCATCCTCTGCCTTGTCTAAAGAAAGGACTATTATGACTATTTCCAATTGGGCAATTCATTTGCCCAGAAGAGGTAATTTTTAATGCCTTCGCTCGTAAGGGCCTGACGCAAACTTGCCTCTGTGGAGAAACAAGCAAAGAGAAAAGAAATAAACCATTATTTGGCCTTTGCAAAATGGTACTCCAAATTTCTAAAGCAGATCTTGTTATTGAAGGAACCAAGAGAAGACGAAAAAAAGCATACAGAGGAAGCGTAGAAGTTCAGGCACAGACCTCTGTCAGTTTTTCTGTGCATCAAATTATTACTCTCCCTTCTTAACTGAATATTAAAAATACTCCCTTCTACAGTACACCACTTCGTCTATAAAGGGCGGGAATGAATCTCAGATTAATTTCAAAATAAACAAATCCTAAACAAACAAAAAAAGAAAGCTTAAAAAGGGTGTCATGAAAAAAGTGTAGACTCTGCGGTGTTTCCATTCTGCATCACATGCGCTCTTGGGTCCTTTTCGGTATTCGAAAATATTAGCTTCAAACCCAGAGGAAAACCCATTAAAAACTGTCCGAAAAGAATAAAATAATCCCTTTTTCTTTAATGCATAGAGCGTTCCTTCCTCTGTCGTTGGAGTAATTGTTACCTAAACACTTTAACTGACATTCCACAGATCTTTGACTGAGTTGGTCTTTTAATTGGTTCTGCAGTTCTGTTATCTCAACACCCACTAACGCCAAACTCTTCTTCTTTCATATACAGTAGTTAATAGTATTGGTTCCAACTTCCAACTTCCCATTTGATTTTCTTGGTCTACACTCAGGTGTGCTGTTATTCTTCTTTGTTTCTTTTTTTAGTTATTCGTATGACCAAACCTGGATCTAATTTCATTGGTTCTGTTGCTCGAGAATTCTCATTTTAGTCATTCGTTCATGTTTCTGTCCTTATATTTAATAATATATGTGGAGCTAGGATTTTTAGTTTATGGTTATTGAATGCTTTGTTCGGAATAAATTATTTATACATATTGAGTGGATCTTTTAACACAAATATATGGTCTGAGGCTCTCTGAGCCAAGATTCTTCGAACCCGTTAGCAGAACTGTAGATGTGTTTTGTCATTTTGGAGATTTAGTGGATTCTTTTGGATGAGTGTTGTTTATTGTATAATTTGAGTAATGGGGTCTTTTGCTTTGTTGAGATGTTTATCTTTTTGGTATGTTTGGTTTCAGTTCTATTTGAGTCCAAGATACATATTCGTTAGTGGAGTGGATTCGAAGGAAAGCTGAAAGAACGCGAAGCCAAGTTATCATTTGTTTGTTGAATGACTATAGGCATACATACATGTATATTTTTTTCGTCTAGGAAGGGATATAAATGAAAAGTATTTTGCTTCCTCTCGCTTCTCAGTTGTTATCTGGACCACTTACCAGAAAAGTTTTTAATTTGGTCATTTAATCAGTTATTGAATAGTGGTGTCAATTATATGCAGGTGGGCATTGAGGGATGAGGTTGTAGGAGATTTACTTGGTTGTTTGAGATGGAGAAGAGGAACTGGTTGTGGAAAAGGAGACCTACTGAGAAGAGCCTTGGGGAAACTGAGAGTTGTGGTTCATTGTCTTCACATTCAGAGAGACACTCTGATGAGCAGGTACAAGCCAAAAAGAAAGAGATTCTTTGTTCATAGGTTGTCTTGATAATCCTATAATTAGTTGTGCTGATACGTCACACACTTGATAAAATACATTGCTGATTTCTCACAGCCACATGCTTAAAGCTTTATATGAATGATTTCGAACTGATAATGCTAGAGCGAAATATGCTGCTCAAATTTTCATAGTTAAAAAGTGTTAAAGTTATATACTATGTATTAAATTTATGCACTTGTGTAAATTTTAAGTTTTTATCAACTCAAGACCTGTATTCAAAGATTCCAGTTCTGAAGCCATGCATCAGATCCAATATAGGTGCGAAAGACTTCAGCATGGAGCTGATTATGTCAGTCCCACATATAGTTAAGCAGCCAAACATCTTTCATCATCTGTGAAGAGTATCTATCTAGAGAAAAGAATAATGATTGGCAATTCGCTTAATTTGCAATTTGCATTTTTAGCTAAGTATAATAATGATGGACACATCCCAAATTTGATGCCGTTGTGCGCCACACTCCTAGTCTAGAGATCAATGCACAAGTTAGAAGCTATTCAGTGCTGGAAGGAGATGGTGTACAGAGAAAGCGCCTGAGGGTTTCATAAATGACCGATGCTGTGTACTTAGATTCAAGGACTATAGTCTTGAAACATTAGCAGTGAATGTTTCTGCTTTTGACAAGTAATTCTAATTCAAAAGCAATTCTATTGCAAAAACAGAAGGACTCCAAAAAGGGGCAAATGATTATAAATGCGTGTGCATAAGCATAGAGTAGGCAAAAGTTAGAAATGTCAAAGCCAATCAACCCAATGTTAATCATGTTACCTGTAAGTCTTTGAAAGCAAAAGTATGACTCAAGTAATTTTCTTCCTGATATTGCCGCCGTTCACTTGTTATCATAATTTATGCCACGCTCCTGGCGCCTTTACTCCTGTTTTGTTTTCTGCTTGCCTCTTCTTCCTGGCTGTTTCCTGTGTGCTTCTTGTTGACTTGAATTTTCTCACTTCAACACTTGCAAATCTCTGTTACTTGAAGCAGGATGCATTAAAAGAAACTCCAGATCATGACAACCAGTCACCGGAAGTAACCTCAAAAGCTGCAACTATTGATCATGAAGCAAAGGAAAGTCCTAGGAAGTTGATAGAAAAGTTATCAGCTGCTATAGTCAATGTTAGTGCCAAAGAAGACTTAGTTAAGCAGCATGTTAAAGTAGCAGAAGAAGCTGTTGCAGGTATCTTCCACCATGCCCTTTCTTCCACAGTTCTGAATGCGATCTTAGAAAGTGTCTAGACTATTTCCAGTGCTTTTGCTGTGCATGAATCACATGTGGAAATACTTTTCTGGAACTTGAGCGTCTTTCTTTACTTTCCAATCAATCGTGTATTTTTGTCTCTTGATTAGTTCCATGTTCTTTTTGTAATATTTGGTAGGTTGGGAAAAGGCAGAAAATGAGGTTGCAGTTCTAAAGCAGCAACTCGAGGCAGCTGTGCAGCAGAACTTGACTTTGGATGTTCGCGTCAACCATCTTAATGGTGCTCTCAAGGAATGTGTCAGGCAGCTGAGACAAGCGAGAGATGAGCAAGAGCAAAGAATTCAGGATGCTGTGGAAGAGAAGAAAAAAGAATGGGACTCTGTGAAAGCTGCACTTGAAAATCAGCTACTTGAGCTTCAGACACAAGCTGAGGCTAGTGGAACTGGTTCTCCTGTTTCTACTGATCCGGATGTTCTTGTCAGGCTTGAGTGTCTAGAGAAGGAGAACACAGCTCTTAAACTCGACCTTTGTTCTCGTTCAGAGGAGTTGCAAATTACGACCATAGAGCGTGACTTGAGCACCCAAGCAGCTGAAACTGCTAGCAAGCAGCAGCTAGAGGGCATAAAGAAGGTGACCAAGCTTGAAACCGAGTGTCGAAGATTACAAGCCTTGGCTCGCAAATCATCCCTACTCAGTGACCAAAGATCCTTTGATAGCCACATGATGCACAAACTGGAAACAAGTGAATGGGAACAAAGTTGCTCTGATTCATGGGCATCAGCACTAATTGCTGAGCTCAATCAATTTAAGAATGATAAAGCCATGCCTAAAACTCTTGTTGCCCATTCTATGGAAATTGACATGATGGATGATTTTTTGGAGATGGAGAGACTCGCTGCAGTATCTGAAACTGTGAATAAAGCCTCTTCACTTACATGCGATGCTGTTGCCCATGACTCCCCAATTGAAGAGAATCCCCTGGAAGCAGAATGTGAGGCCATTTCACAAAGGGTAGCCGAATTAGAACAAAAGCTGGAGAAGATTGAAGCAGAGAAAGCTGAACTGGAGAATGCTTTATGTGAGAGCGAAGATGCCCTTAAGGTGTCCGACTTGCAGCTTAAGGAAGCTCAAATCAAGATAGAAGAGCTGCAGAAGGAGCTAGATGTAGTGAATGAGTCAAAAGCGTTGCTTGAGGTTCAACTCTTTGGCATGGAAGTAGAAGCACGGACTATGTCAACAAATATTGATTCTTTAAAGACAGAAGTTGAAAGAGAACGATCCTTGTCATCTGCTCTTAAGGTGTCCGACTTGCAGCTTAAGGAAGCTCAAATCAAGATAGAAGAGCTGCAGAAGGAGCTAGATGTAGTGAATGAGTCGAAAGAGTTGCTAGAGGTTCAACTCTTTGGCATGGAAGTAGAAGCACGGACTATGTCAACAAACATTGATTCTTTAAAGAAAGAAGTTGAAAGAGAACGATCCTTGTCATCTGATATGGAAACTAAGTGCCACGAATTGGAAATTGAACTAAGAAGAAAATCTCAGGAAGCTGAACTTCAGAAAGCTTCTAGTTCAAATGGTGAATCGAAAATAAAGCAGGTAAGGTTTATCTCAATGAATTCGTTTTCTGTTATTGGAAAGTCTTGAAACTTTTCTTGTGCATGTGAAGAGAGAAGAAAGAGGAAATAACTGATCAATTCTGAACTTTTCTATAAGCAGGAAGATTTAGCTGTAGCTGCTGACAAGCTTGCAGAATGCCAGAAAACAATTGCATCTCTTGGCAAACAGCTTCAATCATTAGCTACTTTAGAAGATTTCTTGATAGACACTGCAAATCTTCCTGGATTTTCTCGGGGAGGACCAGTTGTGGCTAGAGCTAGTGGAGAGGAATGGAAGTTGCATGTAAATGAGACATTTACCCAAAGACAGAATCCAGATACTTCAAAGATTGGCAATTCTAGTAATTCTATGAATGGAAATGAAGGAGAATCGTCATCTTCTTCCTCGTCATCATCTACTTCATCAGCTACTCAGGTGATCACCTCCAAAAGTAAAAATGGTTTTGGGAAGATGTTTTCTCGAAGCAAAACTGGAATTCAGCTCTAAAATATAAGAGTGGAATTGGGTCCTAAATCAAAAGGGATAAATACAAAAGGAAAGCCAAGATGCAGAAACAAAGTTTTGTCAGTCATCACACAGTCATATGGTAATGAGTAGGATGGCTAATGAAATTTTGTTTAATTAGATAATATGTGCTTTGAAATGGTTGTGAAAGAGTGCATATCTATCAAATGGCATTAGATCATGACTTTCTGGTGCTCTATTCCATAGATGATATATCCAGCTGTTTCTTTTACTCTATTCCCTGAACTCTGACGTGATGCCGTGATCTGTGCTTGCTCCTAGGGGTGTACATGGTTTGGTTTGAGTCATTCTTTTTCATAAATAGCTAGGAGAATTTCCAATTTAATTGCAACTTACACGACCTCGAGCGATCTGTTAGTGCGCTTAGCTCATTTTAGTTACAGATTTCTTTAGATATTAGCTCTACTGAATTACACAGTATATTAATATGTGACTATCCTCCACCTGCAATCATACTTGGATGATATGCAATTTCTCCCTTCCTCCTCTTTCAATTGGATTAACTTGTGTTCCCTGACCCTTACTACTTCAACTTCTTGAGCATTTTTCATCTCCTTATTAAGTTTATGTTTGGTGCACCGATGCAAAAATTCGAACTTCAACTTCTGTAACAAACAGAATATATTAACATAACTCTTACCTGTTATGAATCATCCCCAGCCCAATGTCACAAATGTAGCTATTGGGCTGAGAATAAGCAATTGGGCCAGATTAATTTGGGACCCAGGTTGAGTTGTGAGCGTAAGAACGGTTATGATAAAGGCGTAGTGGTCTGTGATTTGGGGGTTATGCCTATTGTGGAAGAAAAGAATGTTTGTTCCTCTCATCTCCTTGCTCTGAGTCTAAGCTTCTCATCTCCCTTCTTCTATCTATCCCTAGTTACTTCGTGCAATTCCTATTGTCATTCTGGTATTTGAGTTGTAATCGCACTTCAGTCTTAGTAGTACATTTGAGAATTTGGGTTTTTGTTACATTAGATTTGATATCATTACATTGGTTCTTTCATCGTTCGTAATCCAACAATAATGGTTGTATTAGATCGATTCAGCGGTGGAAACCCAGAGGGTTGGATTTTTCGGGCAGAGTTGTACTTCACATACCTTGGCTTCTCCGAAAAGGACTGGTTACCTCTTCCTTACCACTACCTTGATGGCGAAGCTGTTGCTTGATTTGATTGGTTATTTCGACACAAGCAATTTTTTGATTGGAATCATTTTAAAGAGAAATTGAAGCTGCGTTTTCGCACCCGAACGAGAGAAGCACATGGCGGGTGTTTAGCCGTTCACCAGCAGCGCAAGCCAGTGGGCGATTTTCTAGAACGAGTTGCGGCTATTCCATCATGGTGCAACATTAGAACCTCACCAACGCCTCCGTATTGGAATAATCACTCGACCAGCAACAACCTGAACGTGGCATACGAGGTGTTCGAGGAAATGCCGGACACCTCCCAAGATGATGAAGCAGCAGCTGAAACTACTGGGTCACCAGAAAAGCATATTGATGTCAATTCCATGTACAATGTCGCTAATGGAAGTCATATTGGAATTGAATCTCTTAAAGACAGGGAAATATTACAGGAGCTACAAACTGGTAATAAACTGATGACTGAGAAAGAGGATTTCATAGAGGAAGGCCAGGTGTTTGACAACATGCCGCATAACTGTTGCTCCAAGGTACTAACTAATGAATCTGATTTGGATGATGGCAACTCAGAGGTAGACATGGTGCTTGCTGAAAATTTTCAGAAAGATACATGTCAGTTGCCTAGTCAAATTGTCGATATGACTTCATTTCTGATTTCTTTTGCTGCACGTGAGTATAAGGTTAAAAATAGGATCATGCTAATTACTGGAATCAATTACCCGTTGGCAGACAACTTAGCATTTTCCAGTCAAGTACTTTCACTAGTACCACACTCTGGTAGTTGGGCTACGGATGCAAGGGATATTGGACTATCAAATTCTAGTTATGTGCCCAAGTGGTTTGGCATAGGGCAGGAATTTCTCATTGCTTCAGGGTGTGCATCTCTTTGCATATTCCTTTAAGTTTTCCATCATATGCACATACATTGTTTGAAGCAATTAGAAAGAAATTGAGTTATTTATTTGCAAAGTTGTATGATGGGGAGTTGTTAGGCGAAGCTAAATTTGGTCTTGAGTCCTTTAATGTTGTGTATCTTGATGGAAATCCCAAACGCACCATTGACAAGAACTATGTCTCTCCAACTGATGCGGCAACCAATTTTTTGGTATACCTATTACTAGCGGAGAAGATGTAGTGCTGAAAGAGATTGAGCCCTGCTGAAGTCGCATATCCATTCGAAAATGTCATATCGCTTCACATTCACATGAGTCTATGTCCGTGGAAATTTTTCGATAAGAAATTCATGATGACTAATGAGGTCTCAAATATTGTGCGGTATGTTCCTTGCAACATTTTGTTTGTTGGTTATGACAAACCAGCCTAGGATGAGGAGTTCACGTTAATAATTAAGCAGCCATCGTTATGTGATTTTCGACTTCTAGTTTTGAGTTGCATAGACCTAAATGGCTATGCTACTTTACCTTATGATACTAAGAGAATAATTTTGATGGATGACAAACTTTCTATGATTGGTGATTTTATCATGGAATCATGTCTTTCTTTCTATTGATAGCAGTGAGTTGGTAGTCTCTGTCACAACCCAATTTCACTTATAGGTCGTGATGACGCCCAACATTATAGCTAGGCAAGCCAACTAATAAATTAAACATATATCAATAAAATTTAAGTCCAAAAAAAATAATAAGACACCAAATTCTACCAATGTATGTGCCAAGACCTGGTGTCACAAGTGTATGAGCATCTAGTAGATTATACAAAACTCCAAATATTGTCTGAAATAAAAATAGACAGAATTAAAAATACAAGAAGAGGCACTGGTAGCTGCAAGAACGCTCAGAAAGGCAGCTCACCATTACGCCCCTGGATAACGAGGATGTGCGATGATAGGTTCTCCACTAGTATCTGTCTCAGATCCTGCACAAAAAGTACAGCAAGTGTAGCATGAGTACGTAAACAACGTGTACCCAGTAAGTATCAAGCCTAATCTCGAAGCGGTAGAGACGAGATGACCGTCTTTGACACTCACTAAGAGTCAACAATAATAAATGGAATAAATTATAATTATTCAAATCAGCATGATTCACACAGTTAACGATAATTTTATTCAATTAGCAGAAATAATAAAAATCCTTCAAATGCAACAATTTTCAATCTATTAATTAAATCCTTCAATTTCAATAAAAATTTCAATTTATCAAATAGCTTTACAAGCTGCAATTCAATTTCAATAAATTTTTAATTTATCAAGTAGATTTACAAGCTGCAATAAACTGTCCAAGTATCGTATAATTATTATTATTATTAAGCATGATTTCTNGCCAAATCCAAGTTAGAATCACTTATCCCAAAGTCTTTTCCTTGAAAATCTATCAAAGATCGCCTCTGCTCAAGCTCCAATTTGTTAAAATGGCGAATGAGACGAATGCCCTCTTTTATAATTCTGCCTTAGCAGCCCTCGATCATGTCCTCGATCATGGCCTCGATCGTGGCTTCGATTGTGGGTCTCGATCTTGGGCTCGATCTTGGCCCAGAATTCCCAACAGAAAGAAAAAATTGCAGCCACTGTTTTAAGTCCAACTTTTAATCCGTTAACCATCCGAAATTCACCCGAGGCCCTCGGGACCTCAACCAAATATACCAACAAGTCCTAAAACATCATCCGAACTTATTTGAAACCTCAAATCACATAAAACGACGCTAAAATCACGAATTATGCTCCAATCCAAGCTTAATGAACCTTAAAATTTTCAGCTTCTACATTCGAAGTCGAAACCTATCAAATCAAGTCCGATTGACCTCAAATTTTGCACACAAGCAATAAATGACATAACGGAATTGTAAAAATTTTCAGAACTGGATTCCGATCCCGATATCAAAAAGTCAACTCCCCGGTCAAACTTCCAAACTTTAAATTCCTATTTTAGCCATTTCAAGTCAAATTTCACTACGGACTTCCAAATAAAATTTCGATCATGCTCCTAAATCCAAAATCACCATACGGAGCTGTTGGAATCATCAAAATTCTATTCCGGGGTCGTTTGCATATAATACGATATCCGATCACTATTTAAACTTAAACTTTTAATTTTTCATCAAAATTCCATATCTTGGGCTAAGGACCTCAGAATTTGATTCCGGGTATACGCTCAAGTCCCAAATAATGATACGGACCTACCGGAACTATCAAAAATACTGATCCGAGTCCGTTTGCTCAAAATATTGACCAAAGTCAACTCAGTTAAGTTTTAAAGCTCTAATTCACATTTTAATCCATTTTCACATAAAAAACTTTTCAAATATTTTTACAAACTGTGCACGCAAGTCGATGAATGATAAATAATACTTTTCGAGGTCTTAAAACACAGAATTAATTATTAAATTTAAAGATGACATTTTGGGTCATCACATTCTCCACCTCTAAAACAAACGTTCGTCCTCGAACGGGTTTAGAATTATACCTGAAGTGCTGAATAAGTGTGGATATCTTCTCCGCATGTTTTCCTCAGCCTCCCAAGTCGTTTCATTGACTGGTTGTCCCCTCCACCGGACCTTTACTGCAGAAATCCTCTTGGACCTTAACTGTCAAACCTGTTTATCAACAATGGCAACTGGCTCCTCTTCATAACCCAAGCTATTATCTAGATGAACTGTGCTAAAGTCTAACACATGTGATAGGTCAGCATGATACTTTCGGAGCATAGATACATGAAAAACCGGATGAACTCCCGATAGGCTGGGAGGCAATGCAAGCTCATAAGCAACCTCCCCAACTCGTCTCAACACCTCAAATGGGCATATAAACCTTGGGCTCAACTTTCCCTTCTTCCCGAATCTCATGATTCCCTTCATCGGCGAAACTTTCAAAAGAACTTTTTCACCCACCATAAATGATAAATCACGCGCTTTCTGATCCGCGTAACTCTTCTGTCTAGACTGTGCTATACGAAGTCGCTCCTGAATCAACTTTACCTTTTCCAAGGCATCTTTCACTAAATTAGTACCATATAACTTAGCCTCACCGAGCTCAAACCACCCGATGGGCGAACGACATCGCCGACCATATAAAGCCTCA